ACCCTGGCACATGAATCCTGGGATAATTCTGTGAAAGGAGGAACCCTTATATCCAAATCCTTTCTCTCCAGTGCTCAGAACGCGAAAGTTTTCTGCTGTCTTTGGAACTTTGTCTGCAAATAGCTCGAAGGAGACGCGGCCCAAGGGCTCGCCATCGGCCGCAATGTCAAAGAACACGGTGGGGTTGACCATGGCTGCAAAGAGAGGCGACAGGGGACGGCGGGGTCTGCAAAGCCTGTTTTGAAACTTTTAAATTGAGTTTTTCACTTAACGATCAATGATAAGAACAGATAAAGATTGAAAATATGGATCATATACATTCCTTCTTCTGAATCAAATGGATGAAAACATGGCTCCTATCCTAGTTGTCCTTAGACTTTGCAGATAACTGATAGAAAAGCAAATTCATCCACTTGTCTCTGTGTGTATGGCAATATTGCTCCTTGGCCAGCAAATGGGAATTTAACTTCCCCTTTCCTCCCTTTTGGATCAATTTCAGGTGCATTTTATTTTGAAGGAATAGAAAGAAAATGTTTTCCTTCTGCTATATGTCAAGATAGGAACTGATATTCTGTCTAGTGTTAAAATACTAACGCTTTGCTACAGTGCCTGTAGTTCCTTATCGGTCCCTTGAGACATGCCCACCGCCATGTAATCATCCTCAGTATATATTATATGTGGGTTCCTTCTGCTCCAGTGCACAGGAGTTACCTTCCCTAGTGCGGAATCCCCAGTACTCTTCCCTATCACATAACCAGTTCCAGCATCTCAGACATGGATGACTTGATCTTTTTGCCCACAGAATTTTGCCTTTGGCACTGTATGTACTGCAAATGTCTGTAATGGCCTGCATCGCAGTGCAGTCTGATATTATCTAGTTACTATTCTAACTTCACTAAGAGTATTGAACCTTGTGTTTCATCACTAGCAGGCTTCGTGGAAACTAATTAGCAGCCAGTAGTGTTGGCTCATTCAATACTATTCAGCTATTCGTTTGTTTGAGAATGGGATTGTACAAGTGTGCACATATGTGTCCTTGTATGTGTGAGGGGAGCATGTATATCTGTGCCCTTGATGCCGATGCTATCAGTAGCTGCTCTCTGACCTGATACTTTGAGATGAGGTTCTTGCTGGACCTGGAGCTCACCAATTCAGCTATCATAGCTGACCAGCAATCCTTAGGGATCTCCAGACTTTGCTTCACCTGCACTGTGATAACACACATGCCATTGCACCTGCTTTTTATATGGGTACTGCAGATCTGAATTTAAGTTCTCTTGCTTTGGTAGCAAGCACTTTGCCTATAGAGGCTGGGGTCATTACCCCAGCTCCTGACACAACTTTGAATATAAGAACCCAGCAATTCTAATGAAGTAGAATTCTATTCTAGAATGCAACCTGGGGAGAGAGTGAACTATGCTCATGATTATTGTCACTGAAACTCAATGTTCACTAAGCATCAGTGAATATTTGTTAAGTAAGTTAAGGAGAAAAGCAAATCAAACAAAACCTATGACAAAATGGACTTCGATATAAACTTCCTTCATCCTATAGAATCCATGTCATTTTCCATTAAACTCCACAGTTCTTAGCCAGTTTTTTTCTTCTTTCTTTTAAGTTTGTGTGTATATGCTCCCAGATTTCCTCCCAAGTTTACTTTTGAATCTTCTGCCTTTATACATTGGAAAGAGAAACAAATGTGTTCATGTGTATATGTGTGGATGTATATGCTTACTCAGGAAGAAAAAGACACCCACCCACACCCACCTCTACATGATCTCTGAAAGCAACTAAATTGACATCTGCTGCTCGCACTGTATGTGTGCGTTTTTCGCAGGTGCTCACCTCTGAAGAGTCCTCCTGAGTCCCTGAAGCCTTCCTTGCATGGACGGATTTCTATTCTGTATAAGATCTTGCTGGGTGAAGGCCTGAGGGTTAGCCGGGTGGTGGAGGAGGACAGAGTTTGTTCTTCAGTTTGCCAACTGCACATGTGAGGGACTTAAGTGCTGTAGTTCTTCAGTCAACACTGCAGATTATGGGCAAAATAATAATCCTTTTTTATCATCTCACAGTCCATAAAATGAATTCCTTCTAATAGTGTTGGTGCAATGAAAAGAAATATTAAATTAATTGAACAGAGTTGGCTATCGGTTTCCGTAGCGCCTGACTGTGCCTTGGTGCAATGGCTTAATTCTTAATGCTATTTCAAGGGACTGTTGCAGAGAGAATGACAAATAAATTCTTAGTGAATTGCACTCCTTCCCTCCCCAAATCTCTCCCTCCTCCACCTTCTCTTTTATTCCTTCTCCTATGCCCCACCTCCCTGATTCTTCTCTTCCTCTCTTCCACCCATTCCTCTTTCATGTCTCCTCTTCCCCCCCCAAAGTTCCTCATCATCACTTATAGATGGGACTTAAAGATGTCATTAAATTGCTATTTGAAGCCTTACTTAAAACTGATTATTTACAAGACTTCAACACTCAGAACCAGGACCAGAACTAAATTCCAATTCTTTTTTTAATATACATGCTTCAAAGAAAGCTTATATTTTCCCCATTGCTTTTACTAGAGTTTCAGTCACCAATAAAATATAAGAGGAAGAGCCTGACTAAATTTAGAACCCCTTCCCATGGGATATCTGGTGATGTTCTTTAAAGATAAAGCATGCTACACATTCAAAATAATATGGGGAAACTCTTCTTGAAAATAGGGGCTCAAGGGGTCAAGCCTTTCTGTATCTGGACTATAGATGATTGAGAGCATAAATTCTTTTTTCCAGCAACGCTATGCTCATTTTTCTCACTTTATTCATTCTCTTTTATGATTTTGCAAAGCTGGCTTTCAGTTAACCTTATACCCTTGGAGGCTAAACCTTTGGTTGAAAGCCATTTGAAGGTTTGGAGTCTCTGGCTATAAAGTGTATGTACTCCCAAGGTTGTCAGTGACCCAGCACTGGGGAGAGCAGCTTTCAGAGCTGGTTGACAATAAGCTGCTGGCCTTCCAGAGTGCAAAGGAGGTCACAGCAAATGGCGGGCCATTGCTGTTTTCCACTGAGCTCTGTGATAGTACTGGAGGATCCCTACCGCAGGGCCCATGTACATGTAGTTGCAACAACATTCGGTGATTTCAGTCAGTTCAGCATCATCAACAGCTGACATCTAGCTAAACCCTCTGTGTCCACCCTGTGTTGTGTGCATACCCTGTCCCTACAAGATCTTGTTCCTTTCAGCCTAGCAGGTTATTTAGGGATTCTGTGCCAGGTTTTGCCTTCTTATGTGTTTAGTATAATTCTCACCAATGGCATTGGCTACTTTATCCCTTAATCTTCTGTTGTGATCACTAAACAAGTTCTGGAAGAAAACCTGATAACCAATTTTCTCTGCTGTTGCACCACTACTAAAAAAAAAAACTAAAGAAATTCTAGACCTTTAGGACTCGTGGCTCTGCCTCCTTCCCACTGCAGTGCTGCTGATTGCAAGAGACTCCTGTCTTCTCCAGAGACTCAGTTCTGCCTGCAATCTCTTCCTTCACACTGCATCTTTACCCTGACCTCTGCCCCGCTACTCCCTACAGAGCCACCTCAAACCCAAACTCATGGGGAAAGTCAAGTTCATTAAGTGAATAAATAAAAAGGAAAGAGAGAAAGAAAGAGGAAGAAAAGCAAAGGAAAGAAGTTCTATCTAGCTAACAATTAGGCCATCATGCTCAGGACCTTGGGTTAAATCCATAGAAAGGAAGAGGAAGAAGGCAAGACCATGTTAGGGAATTTTCTTGGTACTTACTTTTAATAACTTAAACCTGGGATTAAGGATAGAATACTTTATAGTAGCCCCATCGGTGCTCTAGAGACAGTTGTTTTCTTTAGCATGTGAGTGATATAGTTAGTATTACAGTGTTATCAAGACTGGGCTGGTTTAGCCCACAGAAAGAGCTGACCTGAACAAGGGAGAGGGCTTGGACACCAGACTGATGGCTGGGAGGCCAGCATGGGACTGATCCAGACCCCCTGAATGTGGGTATCAGTGAGGAGGCCTAGGCAATCTACTGGGCCTTGGGTAGTAGATCAGTATTTATTCCTGGCATACAATGCACTTTGAATGCCCATCCCACAATGAGGGATGCTCTCTCAGCCTGGACTATTGGGGGAGGGCCTAGGCCCTGCCCTTAACTAAATGACAGACTCTGGAGATCCCCCAGGGAGGATGGAGTAGGGACTGGGTGGGGGGCTGGGGGGGCCAGCAGGGTGTAGGGGAGGGAGAGGGAGCTGGGATTGACATGTGAAGCAAGCTTGTTCCCAATTTAAATAAAAAAATGTTTAAAAAGAAGTCAGGAGAAGGCTGGAGGGATGGCTTAGCACTTTAAAGGACTTTGCAGGTTTTGCAGAAGGCCCAGGTTTGGTTCCCATCAACCACATAGTGGCTTAAAATCACCCAGACTCTAGTTTCAGAGGATTGTGCACAGCACCTGGTGCACATAACTTCACGGAGGTTCACACACATACACATAATTTTAAAAAATGAGGGGTCAAAAACCTTCAATTTCCATATGATATTAAAATAAAGCGAAAAGTTGTGAACATACACATTCTAGCTCCTATTTAAAAAGGATCTGGGAGAAGTTTGGGGAGGGGAAATAATATTATTAAAATATATCATCTTAGTTAGAATCATTCTATTGTCACCTTTAAGACCTCAAAGTTTGCTCTGCTGTTTTGAGTTTTCAAGTGATGAACAGAGCAAATCTCTGACCCCTCGACAGACTGAGGTAACTAGGGTCCTTCAAATTAGTCGTATTCTGGAGAACGTACCAAGAAAGTTTCATTAATAAAGGAATAAAACAAAAAGTTTTGCAAAAAAAATAAAACAGAAAGAAAAATAAAAAATAGACATCCATGGGCATTTTCATAAGGAATTCCAGACTGGAATTTTCAGAGCCTCACTACATAGATGTTTCCAGGTAACATTTCCTATACAAACAAGTTATGAAAACCATCCTCAGAATGTTTACTAAAGAAGAAGTGGACTATAATATCTGTGTCCAATGAGCCCTCTACACGGCAACATCTGGTTATCTACAAATGTGTAGATTTTTGTTGGAGTACTGGTAAGTGATACTTAAGCCAAAAAGATAACTTGCCAAACAGTAAGATAATGTGTGTGTGCAATTTTTTTCCCTGCAAGGTCTCAAGGTCTCTCGTCAAAGTCATAAGGTTCTAGTTCTAGTCAATCTGGTCCTCTTGTGAGGCAAAATTACCATTTTAAATAGAAAGTAATTAGAAACTATCGATTCAAGGGGTGAGCCAGACTGTTGTGTTTTCAAAAGTTGGAGATCATAAATCTCAGTTTTCTTGAAGGCCTTCTATACTTTCTTTTGTGATTATGGAGTTGCCTTTTAAATGGTCTGTAATATGAATAGATAAATGACCCAGAGACTGATATTGGGGTTCAAACTTCAAGCTGAATATCAGAAAAGCAAAGCAGCTGGGCACTAACTTCTTACCTTTACCTCAGGCTGAATGGGCTGGTCCTGTCCCCACGAGCTCTCACCAAGCCTCAGACTGTAACCTTTCCTCAGCATGGCTGGGAAATGAATGCCTCTCTGAGACTTTGCTTCTGTCTTACATATTTACCTAATGTTGGGATCAAAGGTGTGAGCTCTAATTCTCTTTTAGACTGATGCACTCTTGTATAGATCTGGGTGTCCTTAGACTCACATAGAACTGTCTCTCTCTAAATCCCGAGACCTAGGATTAAATGTGTGTACCACCACCTAGATTCTGACTGCTGGGATTAAAGGGGTATATGACCACAGCCTGATCTCTATAGCTTGAGGCTGACTTTGCTTTTCTGAAGCCTCAGTCAAGGTTTAATAAATCATAAATAATATCTCACTACAATGGTCCAAGAAAGTTCATATGTAATTTTTCCCTTCTTCCTTTAGAAGCTACAGAGATAAGCTGTTTGTCTTTGTTTGTCTTCTATACTGTTTGTTTACTAAGATCCAAAGTGGTCCCTCAGCTTGAACTGGAGGGAACTTTGCCTTCATCGCTTCCCTGTCCACTGATGTTGACAACCAGCACGGTTGTATCAGCAGAGACAGCCGGAGAGTGCTTCTTGTACGAGCTTGGAATTATTCGTTTTGGATACAATCAGCCTTTCGTGCTTATGGGGTATGTCCCAAATAGAGTCTATTCTCCATGCAGGTTTCACAGACAGAAAAAAAAGAAAGCCTTTTCCATCCAGGCCAGAGCAGAGAGACCATCCCTATGATGGGGTGATTCTCTGTAAGAACTGGAGTTTTTTTTGTTTCTCTGCTGTCAGGGGAGTTATTCGTAACCATTTATACTTTTGTATAATGAGGACACCAGCTTGCTAAATAACTGAGCTGGGGGTACTTTACCAGAGTGCATTAAAAAAATAGCCTGAGAGATCACAAACACAGGTCTTTGCTTATGGTAGCTTAACGGGCCATAACTTTCCTAAGTAGCTAAATTGACTTACAGATTTTATGGTATTTATTGCGTTTCATTTTAATAAGAAGTTATTATAGTTAAATAACTAATTACTTCATAGCAGGTGTGACAAATATTACTGAGGTACCATCAGTAAAAATGGTTTATGGCTGCTTTCCCTTGTCACGAGGAAATAATCAAAGCGAGAGTTCAAAAGACATAAAATAAGCTCCACTAATGAAACAAATGAAGATTTCATTTTTAGTGCCACTCAATATGCTTGATTGTTACATGAGTAAGTGAGCTAAGGCTGGAAACAATAACTCCACTGCAGTCATTGTAAAATTATCAAACTAGTAACTTCCCGAAAAAAAAGTCCATCTTAGTTCACTTGGAAACTGGTCACTCCTGGAGCAGGCCTATGTTTGGATTCCTTGTTTCTTTTAACCAACAGGCAGACTATATAGAGAAGGTGAAATCTTTGTTTCATATTAATTTGTTCTATGGTACATAAGATGCCAAAAGAATTGTAATAGGTTAAAACCAGAAAGCTCTTTTTCCAGGTTAAAGAAGTGTTCTTGTAGCAAGGTAAAGTGGTTCATGGATGTAATATCAACACTTGGGAGTCAGCAATAGGATGGTCACTGCACATTTGAGACAAGCCTGGAGTATGTACACAGTCATCCAGAATTATATAGCGAGACTCTGTCTCAAAACACATCTTATAATATCAAATTTTTACAGGTGTATGTAGAAGCAATTATTACAATTAAAGACTAAAATTAGAAGATTAATATATGCTACCAAAATGCCTATAGTTAAGGATTTTGATTTCAAGTCTTTAATTCATTATTTTTTAAAAGGTCAAGGAATCAGGTAAACTGTAGAAGGTATATTACTAAACAACATTGGTGATGCAAAATCTTAAAGAGAAAAGTAAACAGATAACCAGAGACCTCATTACTTTGATAACCAGCCTGTTATGATATCTATTAAGTATGCATATGAATGTATAATTAAAAAGTAATAAAAAGGCAAGTAATTCGTGATATATATTGTTTTTTTCTTAGGTGGAGCTGACAGAATTATGGAACACTAGAAATTACAAAGGCTTTAGGAACTTTCACTCTTATTTTGCAATTAGACGCCAAAGCCAGAGTACCTAATAGATCTGCCTTGCCTAGTCTATCATAGGTATTAGCTAGGACTGATACTACTTTCAATTATAATAGTGAATTAACACCTAAGTGGCAATCTTGGCATAGCTCTACTTCAAAATTTCACAATGGAATTTAACTTGCCCAGGAAAAAAATTTTAATTTGGCTTCAGATTTCATCTTTGTCAGGGAGTTCATCACTGACAGCACCCTGCTGGGTTAATCTAAGTTCCTTTTCAAACTCTTTGTCTGCTCATGTAAAAAGCTGGGCTATTTACATCGGCATTAGTGTAATCTTAGTGTCTTCCAGACCTCCAGACCATGCTCCCAGAGGGAAAATCAAAATCAGGTGCATTTTTTCCCAAGTGATTTCAGGACTCTCCAGAGTGGTTGTGACTTAGTGGACATAGCTCACAACCTGATTGTTCTTTATTCCATATTTTTCTTAGGGGGATTTACTAGCCTAAGACATCAGCTGCTTCGTGGAGGTACTGCTGCTGTGTCTGGTGGAGAAGTGGGGTGATTATGTGACCCTGAAATCCAGCACGTGGCTCCTGTTGCTCAGCCTCATATGTTCATACTCTGACTGTGTCCTGGAGGAGTGGCGTACAAATTCTGTCCAACTCCCTTCCATTAAAAATTATATGTATTTTTATATTTGTATTTCTCCGTGTCTGTATGGGTATCCATGGAGGCTAGAAGAGAGTGTTGGCTGGCTAATGTGGGCACTGGGAATTAAACTCTAGTCCTCTAGAATAGCAATGAATACTTTTGGTTGCTGATCCATAATTCCAGCTCCTTTCCACTTTTGTACTCTTAAAAAAATTACTCTCTCTTACCTGCCGACAGTTCTGCTGCTTTTCCCAGACAACAATCTAGAGCAATTGGATACCTTACATAAGAGGAGAGACTTGCTCACCTGGTACTTTTGAAAAAAATTCATACTCTTGGCTCAGGCAGGAGGAATACTTTGGAATATTTTGAGATGCATTTTACTTTGTGAGAGTTGGCAGGAGAAAATTGATTATCACTACTCTAATCAAACACTTCTGTTTGCAAGGATATGGTATGGTTTGTCCAAAATATTGAATCCCTATTAAGAATCGTTATTAACTTGATGTCCTACTCTGAAACACAGATGAACGTCCCTTTAGTTGGTGCCTCATGCACTTCACTTTTCTATACACAACAATTTTTTTTCCCTAGGCCAGTGACATGGAAAAATAATAGCTGGCAGTTGATGGTCATTAAAAAACATTCTGGAAATATCACTGTGCTAAGGCTTAGGGTGACCATTAATGTCATGTTGCACTGAGAAAGGTAGAATCAGTGTTTTAAAAATGGAAAAGAACTTAAAAATAATTTTGTTCAACTCCCTGATCTCGTAGATAAAAGTAGTCATGGAACAATTTGCCATCCTATACCCAATTTAGAAGCTCACAATATTCTTCTATAAAATAAAAACATACAATCAAGTAAGTTGCTGATGCTTAGAGGGACCCTTTATTTGAACGGTACGTCTATTCCATTTAACCATCACATTGGTGAATCTATGGCAATTCCCATCCTTGATATGCAACAATCCTGGGTACATTTTAGATTCTAGTCATGAAATTATTGAAACATCCTAAAATATTATTCACACGTTAATAAAGAATTCAACAAAAATACCTTCATCATAAAGGAATATTTTGCAATAAAACAAGATTAGGTAGATAGAGCAGTTCCTAAAATACTGGGATTCCTAGAGCCCTGATAAAATTAGTTGAAAACTGAAAAAACAAAAAAAGAAAAAACATTGAAAGGCCAAGAAAGAATAAATCAAGCATCTGAAGTTTATTTTTTATCTCCATGGATAACATGCAATAATATTTTAAGGTTTTTAAAATTCTATCAGAATGTTCAGTTTCATTTCCTAGTCAGTTGATGGCCTTGTTTCCCTGGTGCTCCATTAAATCAGCTTGGATCGTCATGGCTCTCCAAGGAACTTCTAACTCTTCACCCTTCCTAAGAGCCATCTGTTGCATCTAAGCTCCCCCTGGACCTGACATAAATATTTACATGTGAGTTCATCTCGGGGAGGGAGTGTGCCTAATAAATTGCCGGAATTCTGTACCGCCCAATGTGTAGTCACAGTTTATTTTTCTCAAGGTATTACCATCCTGAAGCTAACACAGTGATTCTTTTTCTAATTAGTTAAACGGTCTAAATGGGTGATAAAAATGTTTGTGGTCAATGAGTGCCCTAGGTAGTCAGAACTCTTTCTGCAGGGTTTGAAAGATCTCTTATCTAAACAAATAAAGTGGTCATATGAATTAAAAATATTTAGACAATGTTTTTCCGATGAATCAAATACAAAGGATGCAGCCCCTCTTGAGTGACTGCTGTTGCATGGTTTATGTAAGGGTCATCAAGTTAGCATTGACTAGAAGCAAACTGGTTATAAATTACTTTAGAATGCTGTGGTATCCATTTTCATTGTCTTCTGAAGTTGACTTATAAAAATCAAACGAATTTTCCCCTGAATATACTTAATAATGCATTGAAGCAGGCATTTTGCCAAATTCCTTTGAGACTATATTAAACAGAAAGATATTTTAAACATTCTTGTTGATGAACGACATGTGGGCAATGACCTTGTACAATCTACAGAGTCAGGTCTGCAGTAAAAGCATTGAGGTGGAATTTTTTTATTATACTAAATATTTATTTATTTATTATGGTCTTTATTTCAATTTTAGAGACTTTTTCTGATTGTGAAATTAGCAAATGTTTGCTGTTGCTGCAAAGCTAAAAAGATAGAAGAAAAGATAAAGATAAAATTAAAAACAATTTACAGTTTTAGAAAATAACTGTTTTGCTACAAATACCAAAACAAATAGGTAAATATAGGTACAAATATAAGTAGGTAAAATACATATATGTACATCTTATACATTTATTATATTTATTTACCTAATTATGTTTGTTTCTAAAGCCCAAAATTAAATAGTATGTGCGGTTATCTACTATTTCCTGTCATAAGTTTAATGTAAGTCTGAATTATATTTAAGCATCATCATTTATTGATCTTGTTCTCTTTGATATGGATAGGTAGATAGTTTCTTTTTTTCTTTTTGCAGTGATTCTTTGATGAACACTTAGGTGCTTGAATCACATTAAATCCTTTGTCTTATAAGACATTTAGCACACTCTAATACGATTACATCATGTCAAAGTTCTGGAAGTAGATTTTGATTATGAAGATGAGAGATGTGAAGTGCCCCAGCAGGGAAGTGTTCTCCCTAAACTTTGTCCAAATGTTGATTCACAAGACCAGTTCAGATTGATCTGTTTCTCTCATCTCAATAGCTATGTATTTTAGCAATCTACCATTTAAAAACTATGCATTTATAGGAGTAAAACCATACTTTCTAGTGACAGTATGTGCAAATCTCATTTCAACTAGTCTCTCAAAGTTGTATTTGTATGTAGAGTGTAAAGGACACTGTGTTCAGGAAGAATCAAGCACGTGTTCTCTTCCTTTTTAGTGTCATCATCTGAGTTTTCTCTTAAACAACACTGTCCTCTGCTTACTGTTTTATGATCTTGAACATGCCCGTATCTCTCTTTCCCTGTGAACTTTAGTAGTTTGCAGCCCTCCTGGTTCTCTTTCCCTCTCCTAAGCCCAATTTCATCCTGGAACCAGGTGTCCACTCTTGTCCTTTGTATTGTGGGCTAGCTACCCCATCTCTGGATTCTTCTGTGTGTGTGTATACATAATATATATATATATATATATATATATATAATCTCTATTCAGAAGTTGTTCAAGTGCCCACAGGTATGTGGGACATGTGTGTGTGTGAAAAGAGAGGAGAGTGAGGGAGACACACACACACACACACACACACACACACACACACACAGATACAGAGAGACAGAGACAGAGAGACAGAGAAAGCATGTGGGAGAGAGAGAGGGAGCCTGAGGTGGACATTGGATATCTTCCTCAGGTGCCTTTCATTTTGTATTTTTCAGGTTGTCTCTCACTGAATCCAGAGGTTGCTGGTCCTGGCTAGTCTACCCAGGCACCTTGCTCCTAAGTGCTGGGATATCAGGAGGTAGATTTTACGTGGCTGAGCATTGTTCAAACGCTGGTCCTCAGACTTTTGACATATACATTTCATCCTCTGAGCCGTCTCCACAGACCCTATTAATTGACAGATAGGTGGTTAATTTAGGGTCTGAATACCGTTCCTCAGGATCCCTAGTCCTGGGATTTCAAGTATGTGCTACCACATCTGATGGATGATGTAGTTAATTTGACTATATTAGAATATAAACTCTCTTTGGACATATATATTTGTTTGAATATCACAGAAAAATACCTGTCACAAAGTAGGCAGTAAATAAATGCTAATGTACATGTGCCATTCCTTTAAAGTCACTTTGTAGGTTAGGATTTTCTTTCTAAGACTAAAAAATAATCTTTAATCTTGCTAAAAATATTTCTTTTTTCAGACAGGGTCTCATTAGTTTGCCCTGACTGGACTAGAATTATGTAGACCAGGATCACTTTAAACTTCCAAATCTACCTGCCTCTGCATCCTCAGTGCTGGGGTTAAAGATGTGTGCCACTATACCTGGCAAGGATATTTCTTTAAACTTACTACAGACTCTTAGTATATTTCTAACAAGCTGGAATAAATGTCACCTTTCCCCTCATTCCGCTTTGGATTGATTGCATCATTCTGAAGCATAAACATTACCTAGACCAATTATTAAAGCATGGTTAGAGAAAAGTGTGTATGCATGTGTAATATTTTATCTGACTTACCAATCTCTACCTAACATATTCATAATGTATTATTTGTAAATGGATAATCAACTGACAGTCAACTGAACAAGGTCCCATTGATGGGAAACAGTGACCAAAAAACCCATGATGGGAAAGAGATATGATAAGGTTTAACCATCTAAATTGCTGTATCTCAGCTTTCATTGTCATTTGATTTCTCCATTATACAAAAATGAGCATAACTTCTCTTAAATGCACTTCCCACTAGAGGAAATCCTTCACTTAGCTGTATTTTGTCTTGTCCAATTTGGCATCAAGTTTTTATCTGTTATAGAATCTAATGCTACTTCCAGAATTGATGTTTCTTTAGAAGATAAAGTACCAACAGTACCTCCAGGAACAAGGCAGTTGCCTTGTTCAGAGATGTTCTGTGTAGCTATTTTTTGTTTTGACTTAAAGAGCTCTGTAAAGCTAAGATTGGAGAGATGTATCAACTGTGTCTCTAGTTCCAGGGGACCTAATGCCTTCTTCTGGCCTTCTAATGTGAGCATATATATATATATATATATATATATATATATATATATATATATAAACACACACACACATACACACACACACACACACAAACAGATGGACAGAGACAAACACTTAAAAAAAGGTTCGAGAAAAATCTAAAATTTAATCACTTTAATAAACAAAAGAAATACATTGAGTGTACATGTATGTACATATACATGTATATACACTCTTTTATTACATTCCACTTGTGTAATTTGTTTTTCTAAAATATTATAGGATTCACTACAAATAACAGTTATAGTAAGTTTGGCTTTAAAAGTTATAATATTTGTAAGGCCTTTATCAATTTTTAA